TAACACACAGGCTTTACAACCTCCCTGGGGGAAAGACAAAAAGCATTTGCTCTGGGCTCCCTATACCATTCTTTCTAATATTAAACACAAGCCTCTCTTCATAAAGCATATTATGTAAGGTATTATTGTCATTGGTCGCCAAAGTTTATTCTCTGCTTTCTTATCAGTGTCCAGCATTGATGTATGATCTTAACTTATGCATGAAACATACTGATGGTAAAAAACAATGTCCTCAATAAACATCCATACCTCCCAAATGCAGCAACCTGGAACCAAGCACTGACATACTCTGTGCACCTTCCAGAGAGTGCCTTCCAGATAAGCAGTTTTCCAACCCTCAACTGGGTCAGCAAAATACTCTTCCTTTTGGCTGAGTCATCCCCCAGCCTGCTTTTGTACTGAGAGTATTAGCACATTTCCCACCTTTAACTTGCTAATAACAATTCATAGGCAGACTCTGAATGTGGCCTATGCCTGTCAGGAGGGAAGAAGGGAAATACTGCTTTCTGACTTGGGGTGGTGTGGGTGTCTTCACTACAGTTTTCTTCATAGACATCTTAGTAACAAGACTTTGGCATTCATCTGTGCACATGAGACAGGGGATCAGTTAATCACCTGAGACTAGACACCACAGACCTGGAAGCAGATCACAGGGCTCCTGGGGCTAGGCTCTTTCCAAGCACACTATAGGACTTCTGAGATTTAAAAGCCTTTGGCCTGAGAACTGGCCAAGTACAGGGCTGGACCAGGAGCTCAATCAGCAGTCACTAACAGCAAGGTAATCTGTGGACTCTAAAGTCAGGTGTGAAAGGATTCCCCCAAATCCTTGATTTTCACTTACTCTGGCCAAAAATTTTCTGCATTTTCCTCTCTCTTCTGAAAAAAAAATCAAGAAAAAGGACTAGCATAGGGTGTGTGTGGATATATGTGTGCATGTGAGTGTGTATGAAGGTGACTGCGTGACCTTGCATGATTGTAAGCCTGTGTGAACATGTGTGAATGTGTGTATGAATGTGAGTACCTGCCTCTACATCGTTTTGTACATGAGTAAAAGTGTGTCCATTTAATCATTATGGGGCTCCAAAAAAGCTTCTTGAAATGTGTTAAACTGTGATCTTTTGTAATATATATTTTTACACCTAGGCATATAAAAGTGGATTTATGAGGAAAAAGTGCAACAAGTGAGACATTAATACAGAGAACTAACACATGAATGAGCATGGTAACCAAGGGTGTTCCCTAAGAGGAATGCTTACAGAATAAAAGAATGATGGTTTAAGATTTTTATATACATGAAACCAGCAAAAAATGACCCTGAGGTTACATCTTCATTAGGACTGAGTTAATTTTAAAGTAATAATAAGGAACAAGTTAAATCATTGGAATAGTATTAATTACTATTGCTAGAATTTGTCTTATTTTTATGTCTCCAGTACTTTACAGTTAATGAAGTGAAGATTAAGTACATAGATTTTCTGCTATGAATTGGCAAATCAATGACCCATTTTAATAAAAATATCATTTGAAATACTGTATTTAAGTTTTTGTTTTATTTTTCAGCAGCCCCCATGCTTCCTATATTTTCAATCATTTATTTCATCTCTCCATCTATCCCACATGTTTCTAATACACTAAGACCACCATTAAACACCAAAATCACAACAAAAATAATTTTTGGTAGACGGTAATCTCACACATATACAGTCTCACAAAAATTTGTGTGCTAAATCTCAATAATTACATAACCATGCATAATGTTAAAAGATTATTTGAAATTGTAGAGCTAAGAGAAATAAGGCAAGTTACATTAAACAAAATGACTTTGATCACTGTCAGGTGAGCTAAATGAAAAGAAAAATTTAAAGACTTACAAAAATTGGAAATGTTACAAGCTATGGAAAAAGTCTATGCTATATATCAAAATATTTAAATGCACCCTTCAGTTATTTCTACTAAAACACCAAAAGGAATACTAGGATACACAGCCATGCACATAATCTCTCTATTTGTTTATGTCATGTCAGGGGCACATCATCACCTACCCTTCTGACAGAGACAGTATTCTACACTCATTTAAACAGAAGAGGAACAGTATTGCCACCAGGCAGTAATTGTCATTGGTCTTTATAATCAACCCCCAAAACTCACCAAAAAGCATGATCCATCGCTCTCACCTTCTGGTACATGTCTTTTTCAACAATTTTATTCCAAATACAATTAGGCTTTTTTATTTTATCAAGTTCTCATAAATATGTCTATGGAACTGTGGATGCAGTTCAGTGTTATAGTGCTTGCGTAACAGACACAAGGCCCTGAGTCTGATCCCCAGCACTGCAAACACATATGCATATATATGAACTTCAGAAGACATTTCAAATACATGACTTTTCATCATCATTTACCACCTATCTTTTTTAAATTCAGTTTCCAAGGCTGTTAATCCCCAACTTCTGTTTAAAATAAATTTATGTTTAAAAGCAAAAAAAAAACAAAAACAAAAACAAAAAATACTACCATGAGAATGCAAAAAATGGGGAGATAGCATAAAAGAATACTATGACTTATATGGTTGTTCTATATTGTGGCCTATATCTTCAACTTGTCTATCACTGAGTCTAAAGAAAACTAGGACACCTCAACTCATAGACCACGAACTATGGCAACTATTGTGACATTTTTCAGTGTACTAACTGTCTGCCTAATATGACAACTGAATAATTAAGTTTTAAATGTGCACTGGTCTGAAATACAACCTTCAACTCATTCTTCTAGCTATTTTAATACTGTACAGAGTTAAAGCACCACTCAACATGTTTTCTCTTCCATTTGACTGCAATACAATGACTTTTGACATAGTAATCCACTAAATATCCAATATAGTCTTCTCTAGAGAATTTAAAATTCCCAACAGAAATGACAGTGAATCTAGAATATATTAACTTGTTTTCTTAATGCCAGAAGACATGCCTTCTAGAAAAAATTATATTTGTAAAGATATAAATAGGTGAAATATACATGTTTACTTTTTTTTTTTTTTTTTTTTTTTTTTTTTTTGGTCTTTTTGAGATAGGGCCTCCCTGTAGCCCCAGCTGTCCTGGAACTCACTATGTAGACCAAGCTGGCCCTGAACTCACAGAGATCCACCTGCCTCTGTCTCCCGAGTGCTGGAATTAAAGGCATGCACCACCACGGCCAGCTACATGTTTACTTTTAAATACATTTTTAAATATTTTATTTATTATTTTTATTTTATGTGTATGAATGTATTGCCTGCATGTAAGTGAGTGCACCCATGTCATGCAATGCCAGGGAGGTCAGAAGAGGGCTTCGGATTCCCCTGGAACTGGAGTTATGGGCGGTTCATAGCCCCCACATGGGTGCTGGAAATCGAACCCGGGTCCTCCGCAAGAGCAGTCAGTGTTCTTAACCGCTGAGCCATCTCTCCAGCCCCACATGTTTACTTTTAATATGAGCTAAAATTATAGTCCTTCTGTGTTTCTTGCTAAAACTTTCCTGTTGCATTACCTGGAGAGACTGATGCCCTGAGTGGTAGAGTTTAGAGGAAAAGGACATTTTTCTTAAAATCACAGTGACCTCTTTTTCCTTTTTTATGGTACTGGAGATGACACTGTGGATCAAATTCAGGACCTTGTAAATATTAGGTAGGTGCACACTCTTGCTTCGGACTTACAATCCCAGCCCTCCATGTTGTAATTTAAAAATTTGGGGATAAGCATAAGAACAATGAAAATAGGTTTTTGTAGAATAATTCTTCCTACAAAATCCTCAGTAGTCTATATTTTAGTATATATCTCCTAAAATCTACAGGAAATAATCGTTCTCATTTATTTGTAAATATTGGTATCTCTATAACTTACTGTAATGTTTCTCAAAACACTGGCCACAAAACACCTGTTTCAAAATGATTGGAAACACTGCTTTCAGCTCTGGAGTCCTCAAGGCTCCACTCCAACCCAGCTATGTCAGAACTCCTTAGAGTGAGGCAGAGAGAGTATGAGTTGAAAACAATTTGCCCACGTGATTCCAATGTAGAGTCGAGTTGAGCAACCTACCTAGTCATATTCCCAATGTAGTTTGCTTCAAAAGGAAAGTTGCCAAATGGCTGCTTGTGAAAACTATTGTTTCTGAATGCCATTCGTATGATTTCTACTGTAACACTAAACACTAAACCTCAGGATATCATTCAGCTCCTTATTCAATGCCTGGGGAAGGGGGCGGCATGGCGCTGTCTCCACACCTTGGGATACTGATCCCCACTTTCCATATTAAATCCTATCAGCATACGCATAAACTCTTAGTGGCACTTAAACACCAGCCTTCCACTTTCCTGGCAAAGCCGCTGGTTCTGAGAGCAGAGAGCCAGCCTTCCAGTCTCTGAGCCTGCAGGGCACCGTCAGCACCTAGGACAGCGCCCGGCCGCGCCGCTGTGGGGTCTCGGGACTAGGAGCCTGCCCACTGCAAAGCCAAGGGGATGGAAAGTCTAAGTCGCCTCTTTCCTTAGACTGCCGCCTCTCAAGCTACTCTCTCGCTGTCCGCATCTCTTTACAAATGACAACAAAGGAAGCCCTAAGCACCTCTCACCTAGGGATGCAAGCCACCCCCAAGCCTAGTCTACCTTCGCGGTCCTCAGCGCCTGTTGCTAAGGAGGGGAGTCGGCACTCTGGAAGCCTCTGGACCAGGTGACAGCCCGCAGAAGGAGCCCTGGGCACCAGGAGGCGGTGAGAACCGGCTCCAGGCCAGCGGGACCCCTCCGCACGCAGGGTGCGCCTAGGGCCCGGGTGGGTGGCCAGGGACGCTCCCCAGCTCCCACCGAGCGTGAAGGGAGCGGGGCAGGAGGCCTGCGTCCGAAAGCTAGCTCGGCTTCCCCTGTGGGCCGGGAAGCCCAGGCCGGTCAGGCCTCTGGCCCAGCACCCGGGACCCGAGTGGGCCAGAGGGCCGGGCAGGAGCTCGGGGAGAGCTTGGGGAAGAGCAGCACTCACCATGTTGACTTCAGATACCATGTCGATGCTGGCGATGTCGATGTTCATCCCCACGCAGACTGGGGGACCTGCGGGAAGCGCACCACACCGTGATCAGCCAGGCTCGGGCACCGGGTGCGGGCGGCTCTGAGGATGGGGGGCTCGCGGAATAGGAAGGGGCGCAGGTGCAGGACCACCCACCCCACCCAGCCGCAGCTCAGCCGAGGCGGCCCCCCCTCCCGCCTCCACCCAGGCCGCCAACGCGGTGGGTCGCGGTTCCCGCAGCGGCCGCGCGCATCCCACTTACCCCCGAAGTCGGGTCTCAGGCGGATGTCGTAGCCTTTCAACAGCTTGTCCACGGTCTCCTTCACAAAGGACATGTTCCCAGGGTCGTTTACGCTGAGGGAAGGGGACCGGGACAGAGAGAACAGGGTCAGGCAGCAGCTCACCCGCCAGCGCCCAGCGCGCACGGTGCGCGCCAGCCGGCTCCCGGCCCGCTTCCCGTCAAGACACCCGCGACCCTACCTCTGGGCGCAGCAAACCACCGCCACAAGCACCGGGGCCGAGAAGATGCCGAAAAGCCTTCCTCCCGCAAAGCCCCACATCCCTCCGCCGCGCCCCGGCACGGGGGAGGGGGCGCTCCGCCGCCGTCGCGACCCGCAGCCGGGGCTGCTCCTGCTGCTGCCGCCACCGCCGCCGCGCTGGCCCGGAGCGGAGGAGGGCGGAGAGGGAGGGGGAGGATTGGAGGGGGAGGAGCGGGCTGGGAGGGAGGAGCACCAACGCTAGAGCCGGGAGGGGAGAGCAGGCCGCGCCGGGGGCGGAGCCGGCCGAGCTGCACCCGGCCCTCCCCTCGAAGGCCGCCTAGCGCCTGCGGCCCGGCGCCCTCTCCAGCCAGGGCAGTCGCCGCTCGGGACTCGGAGCGCGGGGTGCAGGGGCCTGCCGGGGCGGGACACTGCGGGCGAGGGTCGCGACTGCGTGGCGTCAGACAGCACGGCGGATCGGCCACCCAGCGAGCTTCTTTCGGCTTCCCACGGCCGGGCGAGGGAGGGGACCCGCGGCTCTACGCGAAGGCAGCAGAGCGTGGGAAGTGCTCTCGCAACCCCCAGCCGGGCGGGACGCCCTCACCTCCAGCCCCGCCCTGCCGCATCTCAGGCCAGCCGGAGAGCCTGTGCGCGCCGCGCGGTGCCTCTGCCCCCAGATCAGCGCGCTGCCGCGTCCGGAGGAACGCTGCAGAGCTCTGAGGATGCCGTATTCTCACCTGCTGGGCTCAGATCCTCGGGTCCCCAGGGTCCAGGAAAGCCAGATTGGCAGCAGCAGCGCCTGGAGCCCCGAGCACATGGCGCTGCTCCTCTAGCCTAACCTGAGTGGGATCCGCTCTTCTCCACCGTCACTGAGCAAGGAACCAACGGCAACGTGGGGATCCCCGCCCCTACCCCCACCCCCGGGCTTTCCCGCCTGACCCATCTTCCAGCCCCTTGCATGGCGGCCCAATTATTTATTTATCAAATACGACTGTAAAACCGGCTCCCTAAGCCATTCCTCTCGCCCTGTCTCCTGGACATCCATGTTGAGCGGTGAAGCCTTCCTGTTCACATAAATGCATTCACAATGGTAGAGAGAAACCTTATCAGTAAACTGAAATCCAAGAAAACGATGTGCCTTTTCTGGTAAAAACCAGAAATATTCACTCTAATATTCACTCTTTGTTTTCCTTCATCCTTTGCCTGTCACTAGGAAGCCACTGGCATAAAAGGGGAGCTGGTGAAGACCAGTGCCCACCCTGCCCTGGTGCCTGGGAGGTTCCTATTCACTCGCCTGAGGCCACAGGTTACCCATTTTTCTTTAGTGAGTGGCAATCCTCAATAAAGTGCCCTGTACCTTAGGTTTCTAACATTGAGGATCACAGTCCTACTACAGTCAACCAAAAGTGCCTTGTATCTTAGGCTTCTAACCTTGAGGATCACAATCCTACACAATCCCACTACAACCAGCAAGATCCACAAACCAAGTTCGAATTTGGGTTTTGTAGACTGCTTCAGGCCTGTCCAGGATATGAGGTGCCGTTAATAATATATAACTACTTCCCAGTATTGACTTGTTTTTTTTCACTTTTTTCTTTGTAGCTTTTCATTCCTATCACAGAGATTTTATATAGGTAAATGTCTAAATCTAGACTTTTATTCTCAAGTTGGCATGTTTCTGTGCATTAATTTTAAATATACTTCCTTTTCTAAAAAATCAGCAGTTTTATTTTTGGAACCGTAAATGTGACTGCAGTACCTGAAAGGTTCTGAGATAAATATAGCTCCCTAATTATTTTCTGGAAAAGTCTATTCACAAGTGCTTTGTATTCTGCGTCCTGTTAGTGTGCAATGGAGTTATCTGCAAAATGGCATCTCTATTAGGACACGTGTTTATGATTAGCTATTCATTCTGTTTGCATGTGCCTCCTTTAGAGCTATCCCCTGCTGGGGATCATGGCTATGAAAAATAAATGATGTTCAAAAAGCATTTGAATAAAGCCAATAGCATAGCAAGATGAGTGTCCCTTCCTACTGTTTTATATGTGCTAAGATGGGCAGAAGCACATGATAAGTGTTACAAACTTCTGTGTGCCACCTGGATCTCCTTCTGCTTTCACCTCTCTCTGGAATTCTTGGCCTTATTGATCACCCAGCTGCTGCCTCAGCACCTACTTCTGCAACAGCTGTGATCAGCTTTTCATGGAGCAAGCCCCCTGCTTCATCTCACATCCTTTTCCACCTTCTCAACTGATCAAGAGAGATAACACACAAGCTGCTCTGTGTGCATCCCCCTGTGCAGTCTGAAATTCTAGACAAGTCAGAAGTCATAGGATGGATTTTTGGCCAGTAGAAAAAATGAACCAGTGGATAAAGGCTGCGTCTTACTGCCGCTTAAGAAGTGCCCTGAGACATGCTGGCTGTCTGATCCTCAGAGACAGATCTCTCCTCTGTTGGTGCTCAGGTTTGGCTTGCTTGCGTGCTGACAAATCCTCCTGTTTGCTTCTCTTTCCAAGTCTCAATCCTTTTTCCCTCCACCCCTGTTTTCATTCCTACTGCACACCATAATAAAGCAGTGCCACTTAAATTTTGCCTCAGGATATGTGTTTTTGGGGAATCCAAGTTAAGACTGGAATGAACTAGCAAGTCATTAAAAAATCACGTAAAATGCAATCATCTTAAAAATAGGAAAGAAAAAATTTAAAGAACATACTCCTGTAACTGCTGCAGTTGAGATGCATGGGGCTATGAGTGCTCAGCCTCCTGGTCATCACAGCCACCTCCCTGTCTCAGCTCCCTACTCATAGGTGTGCAGAAGGACTGGCTGAGCACTGAGTACCACAGCATGTCCTTCTCCTCTGCTGGAGTTACTGAAGCCCAAAATTTTTCATACCTTGATTACATGGTGATAATATACTGGCCAATTCTGTAAGAATGAGCAATTTTATTCAGTACTATCTACCTACATTACAATGGGACGGGTCATTTTTCTAAGTGGCATATTATACACTGTTGTTCAGGAAATAAAATGACTGGAAAGAGCAGATTGAAAGTCAAGAAAATGAATCTATTCCAACTCTACTCATTTTAATGACAAGTCACTTCCTCCCATTTTTCACATTTAAGGTCTGGAAAAATACTCATTCATGATGAAATGATTATTGTTTTTATTAGTGCATATTAATTGTACAAATAGTGGGTTTCATTATGATATGTTCACCTAACTTTATTTATTTTTTTCTTTTTGAGACAGGGTCTCCCTGTAGCTCCAGCTATCCTGGAACTCGCTATGTAGACCAGGCTGGCCTCGAACTCACAAAGATCTGCCTGCCTCTGCCTCCCAAGGAGTGCGCCACCACGCCCGGCTTTCATTTATATTTTTACTAAAAGAGAAAAGAGTCCCACGTGGGTAAACTTTTCATGACATGAGAAAAAAGAAGCAAATGGCCTCTTGTTCCAAAGTGGGTTTGAGTAGGCTAGGATGTGCTTGCTATCTAGGTTGTCAGATGGAGTGTTGGGAGACAATGGGACTTGTCAGAGATGGGAACTAAAGGGAAGTAACTAGGTCACTGAGAACACTGACATAATAGCAGAATTCTTGGGGGACCCTGATTAGGTATCTGAAAAGAGGTATTGAAGACTGAGCCTGGCACCTACCTCTATTCACTCTAGCTTTTTGCCTTGCTTTGTGGTCTCTCTGTGTCACATACGCCCCTGACACTGTGATGCCACTCAACATGAGAGCCTTACAGTAGCTAAGCCAGTGATGACTTTGTGCTCTTGAACCTCCAGAACTGTAAGCTAAATAAGCCTTTTTGCTTTGTAAATTACTCATCCTATATACTCTGTGGTAGTAACATGAGCTTCTTAAGGCAGATGGGAGAAAGGAGGCAGGGCACTGATTCACATCCTCATTTCACCTAGCCTGGTTTTGTTCATTTTGGCTGACCCAGTGACCTTTCAACAATCTATGCTTTGTTTATAGTAGTTCTTCACTCATAAACAACCTGGAATGGGAGTAAGAGAGGGTACTGAGGGGTGAATATGAAGAAATTTCATGATAGACATATATGAAAATATCATAGTGAAATCCTTAATTTTCTACAAGGAGTATGTGCTCATAAAAGCCTCATAAAGAACTTTATAAACCACATCAAAGTTTGTGACAATATATTTAAAACTCAGTGAAGAACCAAGCAACTTGAGATAAAATGCTATATGTGTACTTAATGAGTCTTTAACACCATGGACTGGTGAACACTTTCACTATTCCCAAAGTTCCCTTCGACCCTTAATCCATGTGCCACTTCCATTTCCATACAAGCACTAACCTACACTCTTGTTTCTGAAACCCAACTTCGTTGTGTTCTTTATGGCCAAGTAGTATTCCATCATATGCATTCACAGCTAATTTATCACTCATTGTTGATAGACCCTGCTAATCTGAGGCATATAGAAGTCTTTGTAAGGACATGAGATTGTGTTTCTGTTGACGAAACACCTGGGAGTAGAATGACTGGATCACATAGTGAATAAATGCTTAGCTTTGTAAGAAACTGTCCAAATATTCCAAAGTAAGTGGAGTTTTCCTTTGGGTGAGGAATGCATCAGTTCACTGTGTATCCTCTCCAGCCCTGGGGAATGGGATGCCATGACAGCTTCAGTCAGGCTTTTCCTTGTGACTTACGTACATGTAAACATAACTTGTTACACCCTGGCCACACATACCTTCTGTTTGAAGATGTAAAGTTTTTTTCACATTATAATTCCATTCCTGGTGTTTTCTATCAATGTGTAAGAGTTCTTTATGTGTTCTGAACACAAATCCTTTGTCAGCTGAACATAATTTGTTTTCTCTCAATTTGCTGCCTTCCTGTTTCTTTTCTCAAAGGAGAAAAGAACTTAATGTGGAGGAAGTCCAGTTAGTTTATCCATATTTTCTGTTACAGTTAAGATGTTTGATGTTCCACCAAAGAAATATTTGCCTAATCAAAAGCTAAGGCTTTCTTTTTAAAGTTCGTGCTAGCATTTGGATCTGTGGTCTTCTGTAGCAGGACTCTGAGCACAGGTCAGGGCTCTTTTCCTCTATGTCTAGTTGTTTTGGCATGATGTGTTAAATACAATACTCTGTCCTCCACTGACTTTATGTTTTTGAAAATATTTATTATTTTTTATTTTAATGCTGCATGTATG